TAAATTTTATTTTGAATTGATAATTATTGATTAGAATTCTTTTGCAATGTATTTAAGGCAAAATAAAACTGACCCAAAAATTCGACGGAATCCGTAGCAACGACATTGCATGGCCGTTAGATCATACCGTACAAGCAGAGAAAAAGTTTAAATTTAAAAGATGCGTAAATTGAAAAAGTTTCATCTTTTAAACTTTAATAAATAATTAAAATACAAGATGTTGAAATACACGACTACTCAACTTAAATCTTTATGTACTTGACTGACCTAGTGTCGTTACTTAGTGCATGTTGCCATAAATTTAATCCGAATGATGGCAGAGATATAAAAAGCGACAGGAGCTCGTTTCATAAAAGAAACCTAAATGAAAATTTAAATCAAAGATACAATAAATCGAAAACTTATTTTTTCTGAAGTCAGTTTCTTTTTATGAAACAAGTCCCCAGATTTGACAACAAATTACGGCTACGACCGCACCGCAGTAATTGGCTAGCCAGTCATACGCCATGTAAGTGCATACTTGCTTTGACGTTGGACAAGATACATATGCACTGATGTGGCACACGATTGGCTGACCAACAAAAAAATGCACTCTTTCTGTGATCATAGCAGTAATTTATATTACACCGTAAAAAAAGCGCACGTCTACACCGTTCTAACCTCACGGCTTGAATATCAAAACCTGACGCTTTTTTAAGCCTGACATTTTATCTGTTCTAATGCGCCACTTTTTCCAACCTGAAGTTAAAACGTCAGGTTAACATGACGTTTTTAACCGTTCGGTTACAAAAACATCATGTTTGAACGTTTCAAACCTCGGTATAATTTTGTATTGGGAAATGAAATAGCCAGTGCGCAGGGTTTGAGTTTGAAAAGGCACGCTTTGCTAAAGAATGACTGACGAAAGTTTCTCGGTTTTTTTAAAGGAATCCGTTGTTTTTCAAATAATTACATTTTATATTTCACAGCGATGCCATCTTTCCCATAATAATGTATTTTTTTATCTCAAAAACGACAAATTTCTTGAAAAAACTGAGAACGACAAAGAGCTTCTAATTAGAATCTCTATTTAATCTAAAATATAAAATATTTATACAATTATTGATGTTTTTCCTGTAATATTTGTTAATTTTTTTCTTGTTCTATTGTTTTTCTTTACAAAAGTTATATTCACAACATTAACGTTGCTGTAATAAAATATATATATCGGGACTTGCAAAAATATCTGTGTGCAAGCCTCTAAAATCGTGTTTGAACTCGTTATAAAAGAACCAGAGGTTTTCTCATATTTTACCGTGTGACATTGTTCAGGTTATTCTTTAACATGTGTACTCTAAGGATCGGCGATTCGACAGATTCCTATTCTTTCTAGGGTAGCACGAACTAATCCGAGAGTTACAAAACGTGCAAAACGATCATCCCTACTTGACGATTAAGGTGATAGATTCCTCTGTTTTGCATCTGATTTCATTGAACATTTCGAAAAAAGCTAACTTAATAGTTAGTTTGTGATTAACAACCTTCCTTGAGGCAGTATGCAACACATTACTTCTACTGCTAAGGTTCTATGCATTTTAATTGAAAAATCAAATTTTAGTTCCTTCCAATCAGAGGTGTAGAATCTACCCGTTTGCGCCGACGGCCGTCGGGGGAAAAAACATTTTTTCGGGGAAATTTTTTAAGGTGTTGGAAAAACGAAGAATTATATTTCAGACATGTGTGATTAAACAGAAATAGTAGTTTTAGCAACAATAAAATCGCATTGTTTTGTGCCGGAGAAATTTTATTATAATCCTTTACTGTCGAGGAAAATTTCCTAATCTCACGGGGAAAATTCTGCACCTCTGGTACCAATCTTTGCTTTTGTGAAGTTAATGATAAAACATTAAACATAAAAGCACAGGTGCAGAATCTTCCTCATGCGCTCGGGGAAATTTTTATAAAATTGCAGTTGCAAATTAAAAAAAATCTTTTATGATAAAAGAAACAATGATTCATCTTAAAACCTTCGATGACAGAAACTCGATGCACGCTTAAACCGTCAAGTTGCACGACCTGGCGGGTTAAGCATCGGTTTTTCACTCGAAGTTTGACGGAGACCGTTCGCCAAAATACCATATCTAACAGTCAAAGAGTGTCTTTACTACGGATTCCGTCGATTTTTTGGGTCAGTTGCATCTTGCCTTAAATAGATTGCAAAAGAATTGCATCCAAGCAAAAGTACTCCAACTAAAATATTTAGATGCTTTAGCTGGAGTATCGGGCGATAGTTTTTACTCTTTTATCTAGATTAGGTATGCACCAGTACCGGTACCGGTACCAGTAAAAGTGCTCCACAAAAGTTTAAGACCCTTTTTGTTT